CGTCCGCAATGCAGATACTGATGCCAGAGAGGTTAGAGAATACTTCGTTGAATCTATGCAATATGTTTTAGAAATGTGGAAGGCTCAACTTTGCGTACTTGATTTTGTATCGGTACTCGACGATGTGACTCGCTTGAAACCATTTTAGACTTGCCGCGTTAGACGTCAGTCGATAAGCGTGGCATTTGGAATTTTGTGGTATGTTATCCTGTGAATGTCCATATCTCGGCAATAAAAAAAAAATATCGGTGGCCGAGTGGACTAGCGCACACAAGCTCAGACCACGTGGAGCGAAAGCTCGCGCTGCAAAACCCAGGCATCCTGGGTTCAATCCCCACCCCTGCTCGTTTCGATCTGGATGAGCATCGTACACGGCGTGCAACCATGTATCCCTGCATGCGTGGTGCACGTCAAAGACACCAGGCTAACAGTTGTAATGCACCGGCTAAGTTTCTTATCTACAGCTGGGACACAACTTGCCCGTTGAGGCAGACTTAAGTTCTAGGCTGCATACACATGCACACCAATATATTTATTTGTATTTCTCCTTCGCGTCTCTTCCACTGGGTGTCGTCGCTCCTCTGGAGTTACGTAGAGTTACGAAGAGTGTAATAGGGGATCCCGGAAGAAATGCAACGTGAGCCGAGAAACGTGATTTTAAGTTGCATGCTTTGACATGAAGACACAGGCACAGTCGCGTAGTTTTAGGAGCCGTTATGCAAAAAAACACTCAAACAAGCAAACGAATGTGCTTTTTGTATGCTCGCGCTTGCCCCCGTCCTCCCATGCAGCTGAAAGCCTTCCTGAGATGAAATATAGTTAATTTGGTGCGCTCAGTCATTAAAGGGATACTGGAGCAAACAACCTAGTGTCCATACTAAGTGGCGCACGTTCTTTCCACAAGTCAGCAGCCGCCGGTGTGCGCGAGCACACGCAATGAAATTGACGTCATAGTCCCCCATTCGCGCTTTCTTCGTGCGAAAGAGGTCTTCATGGCCCAGTTGCTTTTTTAGTGCGCCAAGGGACGATAGTGCTTGGGGCGAAATCGTTCTTCACGAGCTGAAAGAGGTCTCGGGGCGTCGAAGAACCTTTCCAGAACGGATGTTTTTAGAGTGTGGATGACGCCGGTGTTTGTACCAAACGGAGACATTCGTCTCTATTGTATACGACATCGAGCAAGATCTGCACAATTTGCTTCTGTATTTAATTAAGGGCGCCATCGCTCGTCGGCTTCATTTCCAGATACGCTGAAAGTTTCATTGCCCTTGAGCTGTTTACTGCTACACATCGATTTGAGTTAATCTACCTTCAGAGTTTGTCAACCCATCGGTCCAGATGTACATATAATCGTCACTCTTCCACCTCTACCGCCAGCTGCGGAGAGTGCCTTAATATCTAAGAAAAACCTGTATCTTCTACACACCAGGTTTTGGGGGTACGCATGCTTGTGAGCAGGCATCTGATGCGCTTGAATGTTTTAAAACAAAACAAAAAAAGAAAAAAAAAAGATGAGGAAATGATTAGTCAACCAAAGACCCATTAACGAAGCGTCTGTTCATCCATATGACACCTCTGAAGAAATACTCAAAGCGGTGGAAATAAATACAAGCTGACATTCCCTAATTTTTTTTTCTTGCGAAAGTTCAGTTTAGTAGCAACAAAACGAACATATATCAGATCCTTATCCTCATGTCAGAGTCAGAAACAGGCGTGTGCCTCCCCGCCGACGCGAAGTCGTGCTTCACATAAACACGACATTTATTCATTTATTTATTTTATGAATATTGAGCCGTCTCCACGTCGCTGCCGTTTATTTATGTAACGCCGCGGCGCTGTCGGCACCGCCGCGAACGTCAAAAATGGTCCTTGCGCCGCCACCCAGACCAACAGCAACGCGCTCACGTCTCACTATGCCCGACTGTTTTCCAATGAACCTGGGACCGTCACGTGACATTGACGTTTCGTTCCAGGTCGGTTTTTATATTAAATATTCAATTTCAGTTTCGTATTTGGACCAGTTCGAAAAAACAATTTCTTGGTTCCCTTCTTTTTGTATTCTTTTTTTTTTTTGAGTTCGGGTTTTGTTTTACATCATGAAAATTTATTTTTGTACTCTCGAGTTCTTAGCAGTGGAGGACGTTATCCTTTGTTGCGCTCGCCGATAAGCGAATGAGCGCATGCCGTCGCAGTTTGTGGTTTTACCAGTAGGTAAATTATGTTTTTTTGCTGTAGTTAGAGTTCCTTATTATAACTTTAATATCATATCCGAACGACAGTATGAAGATAATGTGTACTCAATTTTAAATACAAAACTCTGCATTTTCCTACATAACAACATCATTTAATAATCTAGAATAGATCAGACGTAAGCTCTTTTCGAACCTCGCCAAATGTCAATTTGGAAAAGTTTTACTTTTTTTTTGCAATTTTTGCAAAAAGTTCGCATATTTTAAGGAGGTCAGTGTAAAACGCGAATTTCTTAAGTTAATGCCGTGCGGCCAAACGGGCCGACTCTGACTTTCCGACGGCCGAGATTGAAAGTCACATTCCACTCCGGGCGCTTCATTGCAAGAACTGAGGAAACCCATTTTCTCGAGCTCGCTGACTCAGAGTGCCGCCGGTATGCTGGGAGGTGATGAAACATCACCCTGCCGGGCGGTGGGAATCCCCAAATGCATCTTCATACTTATATAAAATATTCACACACGAACAGAGACCCAAATCTATTAGAACCAAGAGACGGACATCTTAAAATCACTTTCGACTTTGTAGCACCTAATGCATCTACAAAAGTAACGCCGGTATGTACTCACTTGTATAGTTTTTTTTGTTTTTTTTAAGCTTCCATTCTTTGTTTGTTTGTTTTTGTTCCAGCAACGGAGTGGTAAAAGTTGGTTCTAACCGGTTCTAGCCTGTTCTTTTCCGTGAGCGCGGATCACTTATCCCCTCTCCACTGCAGCCGGCGTGTGTTCCGAAAAAACGAGCATCAATTTATGAGGAACGATTTTATTACCCATGGGAAACTGATGTTTCTTGCCGGTTTCGGGTATGTTGCGCATGAGACTGCAATCGATGAGAGTGCTTCGGACAGGAAGGAGAAAACAAAGTTTGTAATTGTATATCCGTGGGGAGGGGGCCAAAAGAGAGCGCACGGCACGAGAGTGCCGACAGCATGCAGAGCGCACGACAATAGAGCGCCGCGACACGAGAACGGCTGTCATTGAGCGGGCGTCACGACAGCGCTGAACAACAGCCGCAGTCACTAAGGTGCTCTTCCCCGTGGCAGAACGTTCCAGTATCCGATTCCACTTTGTAGAAACTGGGTTGTTATAAATTGGATTATCAGTTACGCGACAGCCCGCACTCCACAATATGTAATTACAGCTTCATATTACCTCATTAATCATAAAAATGACCCGAATGATTTCTGGCGCGTTCCAAATTCGACGTTTTTCAAACGTTTGCCAGAATTAAGCATAATAAAGACCTAACACTGGCAAGTACGGTAGGTTCCTGTACTGCGTTACTCTCATTAAAGAACTAAAATGTTTAATTTCGAAATAAATCTTATTGTTAAACCAGTTTGTTTTCACTCATGTTGACATGTGATTCGAATTTTTGCTGCTGGGGGACAAAAATGACAAGTAGAATTCTCCCGAGAGCAAAAGTATTGACCAATTATAAAAAAGAAAGAGCACTCTATAAGCGGCAGCGATGACAATTGCGCGGTAATGTATTGACTTAAGACAGACGACCTGAACAAAATAAATTATCTTAAATGGTGTGACCGCTGCGTTCAACACGCTTGTGCCCCTTCGCCCAACTTAATTTGCGTATTCATTCAATTAAATTACATCAAGCGTTCATGATGTGACTCCCATTGGTGTCAGAATTTCCGTTCCTTGAAAGCATGCGTTTGAAAAACCCAATATCGATCATCCCCAAGGCGCGCACATGCGCTCTCGGGAGGCACGCTCTCGCGTCACGGCGTTCTCCAGTCGCGCGCTCTGATGTCATGGAGCTGTCTTGTCGCCCGATCTCCCGTCGGCGCTCTAGTGTCGTGCGCTCTCGTGTTATGCAGCCATCTGATAGTCCGATGTGTCAGCGTCATGCCTACCACCGCGGCCCCGCTGGGCCGCTATCGCCGCTCCGGAGGAGCTTATGATTCGCCGTCCGTTCTCTTCGAGTGCCAAAAGAAGAATCGCCACGCAAAGATCGCTTGCACGGCTTGGTAACGAGCGGGAGTTTATATGTCTAGATGAGTGCCCGTGAAGCCGAAGTGAGGCGACAGCTGCAACAGTACTGTCCAGAAATCCGATAGCGTGTCGGGATCTCGAACCGCACTTGCGTCTCCGAGCATGAGAAGCGAATGAAGGAGATGCGAACGGAACCCGATGACGCTATCGCATTCCACTCTTAAAAAAGCACTGACACGTCAAAATCTTTTTTTTTTCTTTTTTTATTATGCGAAACCAGTGAAAACGATGCCATACGGCGTGCTTTCCGGAAAAAAGACATTCGCCTTTCTTCGGCCGCTCCCGGGGAGGGGTCGTCTTCCGCCGGTGGATTCGGAGGCGCAATGGCTTCGCGCGATTCCTGTGCTCCGGCGCGGACTTTGGTTTTTTTCTGCAATACGACGATTGCAGATCGCCATTAAAGAGCCTAGATTTGAGAAAAGTAACAATCTAAACCACGGAGGGCACTTGCAGTTCAATGACGGGCATCTCCTGTGCATTTTATTTGCTCCTGAGCATGCACGCGTTGTCGCGAAGCAAGGAGATTATCAGGGAGAGGTGCTTGGAGACGCCCAACAAGTCGGCCACCACCTCTCCCCTTCTATTGCAAACGCTCCCCTTAGACGAGTGGTTGTAACCATTCTCAAATCTAGGCACACTGCTGTCTTTCCGGCTGGAGTGTCCCGCTGGTTTCGCTCTTTCTGCGAAGGTACAAAGTTCCCATCAGACACGAGTCGAGGCTAATCCCCTGCTTTCGCTGTGCAGGCGATGGTGAAGGACGTGACCTGCCTGGACACCCAGTACTGGGTGCTGCTGGAGCTGCCGCGCCAGGAGAAGCAGGAGCAGGTGAACGCGTACGTGCTGCGCGCCTGTGCCACGCTCGAGAAGGCCTCTGAGTCCAGGACGCAGGACGCCACCGCCAGGGCGCAGGCCGACGAGGAGGCCCGGGAACGAAAGCAGAGGCTGGACAGTGAGTTGGTCATCCTAACGCCTCCACTTTTTTTTTATCGTGCTGAAGCGTTTATTGGGTCAAAAAGAAGGGCAGAAAAACCATCCCCCAGTTCGGCAACATTCAGTATGTAAACGTTTTATTAATCCGTACACGATAGCTGTTTGATGATCATCTAGCCTCGATTGAAAGCAGTGAAAAACGGTCAGGGTAGGGGAAGGGGAAGGCGAGAAGATAGTGAAGGGTTAGAGAAAGGAAAAGGGTGAAAGGCGATTAGGGTAGGGCAAGGAGTGGATTTCGTCAACAATCTGTGGCATTCACCGCTCGCGTCCTCTCTCTTGAGTCCCAAGTAGAACTAAATTGGTTTCAGCTAAACAACGGCATAAATCGTAATATTTTCCAGAGTAAGTCTTATGGACAGCAGTAGCATAGTTTCATTGAATTCTAGCCAGAAACTCAGCATCGTTTTCTTAATAATGTTTGCAATGAGTCTTACGAACCACCGGGAAAAAAATTTAAAGGATTTTGATAATGTGTGACTACAAACATATACAAAAATTAAAATTGCATTATTTTTGTAAAACGCTTTTCATTCTTCGAGGGCGTTTTGTATTGGCCACGTACACGGGAATGCACCTCAATAGCGATCGACGGCATGAGACATTTGTACACAGTTAATACCTAGCCAACGGGTGGGGCTTCGCAATGAGGCTAAAATAAAATGTCTCGAAATGTTGGCTAAGGGGTAAACATCGACACCCGGGGCTCTAAGTTAAACACTGAGCGAGAAGGTCGGCGGTCCCTCTGACTTTCTCGCCGAGAGTGGCCTACTTAGAGCCTCTGTATGCATAGAGCGAGCGCTTCTTTAGCTCGTGCCACTTTTAGAGCGCAGCTCCTAGGCGCCCGTTTCCGGCTTGAGCGGCGTCGCCGTCGGCGTAACCGTGAGGTCACGTGACCCTTCCCATGTCACGTGACTCCCAGGTCACGTGAACCTCAGGTCACGTGACCCCCCCCCCCCCCCCCCCCCCGAGATCACGTGACCCCCGTGAGGGGAGGAGCAGAAAGAAGGGGAGCAGGGAGAATGAGCAGGGGGAACGAATCCGAATTTTCATTACTCCGAAAAATGATTTTAAAAAACTCTTATCTCTTGTCCCTCGGCTGGCTTCGAACCGGAGCCCTTTCGTTCAGGAGTAGCACGCACGATCACGAGAAAGGAGGAGTATACCTTCCCCTCAATACCCTTCCCTCCTCCTTCTCAAGAGCTGCGCTCTGATTCGGCGTTACAGGGAATTGTAAACGCCTTTCTTTTCTTTTTTTTCACTTATTGAAATGGGCACGTGGTGGATGAAAACCGCTGCCGTCTTGCAAAGTTTGTTCGTCACATGATCACTTAAAGTCAGAGACGCAGTTAGTGAGCGGTTGAAGAGGCGCTACTTGAGCCTGGAAAATATGGATGCAAACATTTTCTAACATCACCTCTTAAAGTTATACAGAACAAAAGTAAAGAAATTGAAAGAAAAAAGAACTGACCGTGAAAGTGCGACCATGTGTTTTAATTAAATACAGGAAAGAAGAAGACACGCCAGCAAATTTAAATTAAAGGGGCACTGACACCCCCCTCCTTCCCCCCAAAATATTTTTTTTTTCATTTTTTTTCAGGTGATTTTGTATGGTTGTCAGAAGACTACCCAAATAATATTTTGCTACAGAGTCACGTATGCTTTTAATAAAGCGAAGAAACCTAACTGCTCAATACCGAAACTGAAACCTGCGCACGGAGGTCGGAGAAATATAGAGGAAGAGAGAGTGCCGGAAATCACGTGTCTACACCCGACCGTACGCTTTTCTTTTCCCCTTCGTTTTTCTTTTTTAACTTTCTTGGCCCCGCGCAGTAGACGACATCACAGCGCTGCGCGTACCGTTCGCCGTGCGATTGCTTTGCAGTTTCGTTTGTTCCGCTCGTTGTTCTGAACTTCAAGATGAGTTCTTTTGTACATTGAAGAGCAGGAAATGAGTATTGAGTGCCAGTGGAGAATGGCCGTGATCAGCTCCGAAAGAACTGCCCCCAAGATGTTGTGTTAGAGGGGTACGGAAACGAAATTCCAGCCCTCATTTTTTAGCTTTAATGTGTTGCATGTTGCAGCATAACCTCGAAAATACCAGTCTTTCGTTGAAAGGCACAAGAAAACTCATTTTCAAGCTAATTAAACGATCTTTCAATGTAGACCTGGTGGATGCATGTGGAGCCTATTTGGGAGGTAATCTAGCAACGTTGGCGAACTTGCTACATAGTCATGACGTAGCAAGTTTCATCGGAGCAGCGTCGCTCTTTGGAATTCAACATTTTCCTTCATAGCTTTCCTCCTTAACTAACAAATCGCGCATTACACCAAACAATACAAAAAGACAGAAAGGAGGGACTCCCCTTTTGCTCGTTTCCTCGTTTGTGTGCACGGACACAGCCATTCTCCCCCTAGAAGATTGGCCTGTCGCTCAAAATTTGGACAAAAGTTGCTTTTCCAACCCTGTTCACCCCCAAGCTGACAGTGCTGTGGAAGCTACGTGCTACTTGGGCCAGCCACATGCTCGTCACACCACGGGTACTTCGAACGGCTCGGTTGTAACGCGTGGACGCTATTTACACCACCACATCGCTGACAACGCCATCAAGGGAAAAGCTCATAATCACACCAGCCTTGCTACGTCACGAGTGCGGGATTCTTTTTTTTCTGTTTTTGTTTGCGCCGTATATCCCATGGTGCATCGCGCTCTCCGTTCGCTTCTCTTCGAGCGCTTGCTCGAGTGCACCGTTTGGAACGAAAAATATAGCCAGTCGTTCAAAATACAAACGGGCGATTATCATTTACGGTTATTATCTGTCATGCTTGACTTATTTCCGAACGAAATATGAATATTTCACTTTTCGTTTCCATACCCCTTTAAGAGCTGCCTCACTGGTTCTCCATCCAAAAGTGGCATTGTGCGGCAGAGTCTGCGCAAGCTGAGAGATCAACGGGATCGGGACCAATGGCGGAACAGATATAGGCACCTCGGAAAGCCGGACATATCTATATATTTTTTTCTTCTTTCTTTTTCTTTAAGTGCAGGCAGCTAGTTTTTGTGTTTAGCCCCCTGTCAAACCTTCGAACCCCCTTTCAAGCGCAAATATGCTTCTCCTACCGCAACAGGGCCAAGGGCAGAGCACGCTTTACAGGGCAACGCTCTTTTCCGTTTGCCAAACACACACAAACACTTTCTGCTACATGGATTGTTCCCACAAAAAATATGAAGGGAGTCCCCTACAATTTAGTTCACCGACGTTTCGTCCACAAAATTTGTTTTTTTTTTCAGTGACAATGGTAAAAAATAAATGTAAATATCGCGAAATGTTTAAAACAAAAATACACAGTTCGCACACGCTGGGGATCGAACCTGGGTCCGCTGCCTGCGAAGCGGACACCTTTCCACTGAGCTACTCTACATTTTTGAATGGTCGTTTTCAGAAATCGTTTTATACGAGACCCAATAGGAGACAACTGCCCGAGCGATGTCTTCAGCCACGATAGGGGCGACGACTCGGCGACGTGTGGATGGTTGAGCGTGTTTGATTCTAAATCACGATAACGAAAGATTGGCATTGAAGACAAACAGACAATGCAGGCTTTCGACTTTCGACAAAACGTTTACTGGCTTGACTTCGCCTCCTAAAACTCGAGGGCGTCACAGAGATAGAGAGGGAGGGTGGCGGGTGAGAGAAGCGTGAGCCATGGGGATCTGCTCGCAGCTATGCATGAATGGCGGAAGGTGGGGGTCTGCTGTGTGTCAATCGACACGCCACCGTTTCACGGAGCCATGAGTGCCGGCGGTGCCCTCTTTGGGAAATAAGGGAAGGAGGAAAGTCGCGGGAAAAGAGAAGGAGGAGAAGGTATGGGAGTTTTGTCTTTTTTTTACAGTACAGCTGTTAGGGACTTGTTTCCCCAGTATCGTGTCCGTGGGCAGACAAATGTCGACATAAAAATCCGGATAGCTTCTTGCCGGTTGTCTGGTTGCCTCCGTCGCTCATAGATGGCGGCAACCTTTCCAGCCTTTCCAGTCTGGCTTGCCGACTTGTAGTCGGCCATTACTTTTCCGCGGGAAATTACGCCATCACACCTTAATCCTTACATTTATAAATACTTCATTCCCACCATAGAACCAGCTTCACTTGTCTTCCTTCTTCACGAAATTGCAAAGGGTGAAAGTTTTTTATGTATTTGGAGGAGCCCTCTCGGGCATCGCAGGAAGCGAATCTCTCGATCGGAAAGAGAAAAGGAAGGGCTGGACATGTTTGAGACAGAAGATTTGATATGTAAAAATTCAATGATCTCCCTGCCGAATCGAGATTTGTGCCCCCCGAAAATTTTGGTTTTCGAGAATTCAGGGGTGCACGAGGGGCAGTTTTTGGCGTAAGCCACGACTGGATGGTAAAAGTCCGGAGGAGGATACGAGATATCTTTGGCGGTCATTCACGCAGTGCCCCGTCTGACCGATGTACTAGGCTCTGCACGAACAAGGAATACTATACACCTTCTCCCTTGTGAAGATCCAGAAGCACTGCGCGTGTTTTCTAGGGGCGAAGCTCCTTAGGGGCTAGCCATGTCCCTATGTCCGTTCGCCGTTTGACGTGCCCCTGCTCGTGAGTTCAGCAGCGAGAGCAAGAAAAAAAAAATGAAAAGAAAAGATAAAAAAAAAATTGGGGCCTCCGAGATGCCGTTTCATCTGTCTTCTTACAAAAGAAAAAGAAGAAAACCACAGATTCTTTTACTGACGTGAATGAAAACGGCACCATCAGCACTACCTATGACCAAAATCAGTATCAATAAAAAGAAGAAAAAAAGAGTATGGGGTTCTGAGTTGCCATCCCATCTGTCTTCTTAAAAAAAGAAAAAGAAGAAAACCACACATTCTCCTACTGACATGAATGAAAACGGCACCATCAGCACTACCTATGACCAAAATCAGTCTCATCAGCACCACCCGAG